CTAGTTTGTCTGGGCCCACATCCAGTGAAACTGTGTCATCATATTTGAGGTTTTGTCTCTATCAAACTCTGCCATCTTCAGTTGGGACCTTTTTTTGAAATTAAGTTTCTATGTACTGATCTACAAGGCATAATTAATGGCTTCTCTTGATTTTTCTGTGAGTTGTGATGAGTAATTTGCATGGAGAAACTTCTACCAAAGATCAGAATACATAAATAGAGAGAGCACCAAAACTGCACAGTAAAGTTAAGACTGCAAGATTATCACTTTCCAATCTACAACTAAACAAAGATATATCGAATAGTATCGACATTCAAACAACAACAGTAAACAAATCCAGACGATTGTTATGGAAAAATAACATCATAATACCCAACATGATCCCAAATATGTGTCGTATCTAAGTACACGTACACGAGAGGAAAGTGCATGCTATTTACCCAAATCTTATATGATGAACTTCGTCATTTGTTAGAAAGCATTCGATCAATTTCGCCGTTTTGGTTGTACAAAGACACTAATTTCTTTGCGTAAGACGGTATGTGCCTGTCAGCTCTGCCAATCATAGATGTTTGATAAAGTCAGCAAAATAAATCTCTTTGAATTTTAAACAGCTAGCTAAGCAGGTACTTCGATTTCAAAGTGTACCGTTGTCTTCCCCAAGCACGATTGACATAAAGGTAGTTTCTGATGGTGTGGTAATCCAATGAATAACGGGCAAATTCAAGACCCTTTGGACCAATCTTTTAACATTAAAAACAAAAACAAAAATGATCATCTCAGCACATAACACGAGTTAACTGTGTAAATATACTTACTATTTCAGGAGCGATATTTACTCACCAGATTTAAAAAGAATGCTATTAAGTTGCCGATGAATCTTGGGGCGGGTTGAGACGGACCTTTGCCTGAAGGGAGAAAATGAAGGTTCGCTTGAAGTTGGCAGGCTATATTCATAATATAGTGCTCTATATATGAATGCGAACTTCTAAATTCATCAACTCAATAAAGTCTATAGGCATATTAACTGAAGAGTTTCGAAAGAGTTCCTTCAATATGCAAATGTACAAAACTCTTCTTTTTCATGATGATAAAATATATTATTTTATGGATCAATATTATTTTAACTAAACATCACAACGGTTTTCTAGTCTTTCTGATTCGTTGATGTTTATGCAGTTTCTATTATATAATCATGAACCCATCATATATACCGAAGCCATTGGTTGAACCACATAAGTTTGCAATAAAATGCTAGCGCGTACCTAATTTAGCATCATCGTCAGCCTTTACAGTTTCCATAACAAACGGATGCCTTTGACCCTAAAGCAATGACAGTCGTGCCCAATCAGAGTTTGTATACAAATACGAAAACATCTACACACACACACACAAAAAAAAAGGTGAAGAAAGGTGAAAATTACCTGACTAACTGTGGGAGTAATTTCCAGAAGATCTTTTACCAGATTTAACATCTCTCTTCCACGTTCATTTCTTTCGTTTAAACAGAGAAGAAAATAATAGTGAAGAGACAGTGGAGAAAAGTTGAATATTATCGAGCATATGATCATTACAACAGAAAAATGTATAATCTAAGAAATAATAATGAACAAAATTTTCAAGAGATTACCGAACAGTGACATATTGTGGATGTTGTGTCATGCTAACTCCACCATATTTTGGCACACCCATGTAACCGACCACCAAATCCTGCAATAGTTCAGAAAAACAGTGAGAAAAAGTGGTTTTTGTTAAAAAAAAAAAAAAAAATGTAGAATATCAGCATTGGTACCTCTACATAATTAGTACCCATTACTAACTAGTATAAGAACTTTCTATGCAACTATATAAACTGTGAGAACGAAAATGGTTTGAAACTAAAGCTATTTATTATCTGATAATGAAGTTGGGAAATACCCCCAAAATCATCTATCTATACTACTCTACTACTCTAACGGACGAGTGGTTTTGTAGAAAAATGAACTACCTAAAAAATCCTTACTTACCCTTAATTTAACAAGTTTTTAATGGCAATTATATATGAATACCTATCCTATCTTACCTTTTAAATTAATAACTAATATTCTACCTAAAAAACCTTTATTTTCACATATTTTTATTGCCAAACTAGTAATACACCAATAGTATTTATCTTATATTTTTAACTAGTAACTGATATTTAATTAATTAAATATAAATACACGAACAAAACATTCCACATCTCCTAAAAATCAACCACAATATCCCTGCACCATTATTACTCATGAATTTTTTCTTCCACATATCTCCCAAACCCAAACTTTTTTCTTCCATATATCCCAAAAATCATCCCAACATCAAGCCAAACAACAAAGTTTTAAGCTTTGAAAGAATACAAAATTGTTACTTTGAAAAACGTCCTTACTTTTAATATTAATTTAATGGTAAAATCGTAATCATATTTAGTATTCAAATATATAAAAATTCTTTAAAAAAACTGATGCAACAGAAACAACATAAGAAATCTTATATTTATTTACTTATCTACGATTTTAACTACTCAAAAAGGACGAGCGGTTTTGTAAAAAAAATATGAACTACCTAAAAAAAACCCTTATTTTGACAAATTTCTAATGGCAAATTAGTAATACATGAATATTCATCTTATCCAATATTTTAACTTAAATATTCGACCTAAAAACTTTTACTTTGACATGATTTTAATTGCAAATTAGTAATACACTAATACTCGACTTATCTTATATTTTTAATTAATTAAATACAAATACAAGAACAAAACATTCACATCTCATAAAAGTCAATCACATTATTCTCGCACCATTATTCCTCACGAATTTTATTCTTTCAAATATCTACCAAACTGCTTCACAGGTAACACCATAATGCTTGTAACATATATATTTTATAAACATGAAAATGTTTTAGTTACTTAATATCTTCTCCAATAAAATATAAACTTTGTAATCTTAATAACAGTATAGAAGTACATTTTATCAAATATATTATAAATAAGTAATATTAATTAGAATCTTATCTTATGTTATTATATTAGTTGTAGTCTAATAATTAAGATATTTTGATAACATCATTATATAAAACACGTACAAAAATGACGCAATACATATAAATGTGATTTAATACTCAACAAAAAAAAATATTATTTGTGAATAGAATAAGAAACAAATAAAAAAAAATATTAATGCAATGGGGAAAAAATCTGAATTTTCTTAAAGAAGTATGAAAATCAATATCTAGAAACAATTCTTTTAAATTACTACCTTTTTGTTGGTAGTATTTAAATAAATGGACTCTGTATGAAATTGGTTCTCATAAGTAATGATATTAATTATCAATTTTGAATTTTAAATAAAAAAAATTATAGACTTTGTAATACTTGATGTAGAATTTAATAATAATTTCATAATAATAAAGTTCACAAATGACTAAAAATAACATAATATAATAGAATTCTGATTCTTCTCTTCTCAAATATTTTAACAAATGATATGTTTCTCAATATTGTCTCATTTTTTTGTTTTGTTTTGTCATTGTTGAAGTCAATAAAGAATCTTTATTTTGAATTTTCGAAGCATTATGAATGATTCAAAAAGTTGGACAAGAACAACATTAAATAAGTTATCAGACACATAAATATCGCAAATTCGAACGATAGGTGAAACATTTTATGATAAACAACTCTAAAATCATTGTAACCAAGATGGTCAATGACTTGCAAACAATAGATTATGTCGTTCGTCCATGACATATTCCAAATAAATAATATTGAAAAGGAAATGTCGACGTCTGAATGTTTGAATGAAGTTGTCACTTTTTATATTAATATTTACAATCTCATTGGTGTATTGTGCTCGAACATATGTGCAATTACTTTAGAACACAAACTTTCTGTAATGATTTCAAAAAATATAAAGGACAAGTACATGTAACCAACATTTTGGAAAGTCAACTTTTATTTTGAGATGAAAATTTTTCCCACCCCATGGGGCGATGCTCAATGGGGTAGTCGGGTAGGTACCAATTTGTCTACAGAGAGTAATGTAGTAGCTTATACAATAATAAAAAAAATGTCAGCAATTTAATGACACGGTTGGGTATTTTAGAGATGTATTCATGAACTGTTAGTAGAAATACCTTATAAAATCATAAAATCATAAAGTTTGACTATATGTTTGGCCAGCATATTTCTAAGTGTTTGAACAAAGTAGATATTTTTCCAAATGAATTAAGACTATTAATGCATTTGGTCCAACGGTTATGAATGTTTCTTATGAGAGCGTCAATTCCGAAATAAAAGAAAATTACTCTTGAATCATCTAACATAAATAAATAAAAGAACTAATGCATCTATAATATATATTAGATCCTTAGTTATTATTATTATTATTTTCATTAGTGACTTAGTTTTTATATATTTTTGTTGGAGTTGTAATATGTTATTTCATTCTTTTAGACATGATTATGTTATTTTTGAAAAAAAAAATAATAAAAAAAATACATTAGGAGTTCATTTGTTCTACATTTTATTTTATTCCCGCAATGATATGTTTAATAAATTAATTAATTTATCTTACTAAACTTAATCGGCCAAAAACTTCACCCACGTGCACTTTACTAGTTATAAAAAATTACAATAGTTGAAAATTCCTTCTAACCACATAAAAAGGTTAATCACCAGGTTACAACTCTTCTAGTTTCTCCATGTTTTCAAGTTTTTGGTAGCAATGTTTTTAAGACCTTCAAAGGAGTAACTTTACATCATTAAAGCATGTACGGTAATTCCTTATAAGCAAATTTTCTTGCATCTAGGAGAAGTTCAAGTTGCAAGAAATGTTGCAATTAGATGTTAACTGAATACATACATGCATATGTGCGTGTGTGTGAGTATATACACACGTGCGAACTACTATGTGCTTCAAAAGGATACATATGGAAAAAAAAGGAAGGGGGGGGGGGGGTTTGTGGAAACCGTAGTAAGGCAAAGGCTCATATAGTGCAATCGGCCTGTGACTTAGCGACTATATGATATTGGAGCATAAATAAATGATTAACCTTTTGATTAAGTAGTTTGTAACACTCACCGCTAAAGCATTCGTGTAGTCAAAACAGCTGCAACAAGAAAAAATTGTACACATTAACAGAAGATGTACACATTCGTGTAGTTGTATTGATGAAAACAAGGAAGCAGGGATTAGAAGATGTGTAGATAACAGGTGATCGGCTAACCGTAAAAACAAAGTGCATATGGCATTCAATGAAGAAAGATTGACATAAATCCAAGACATGTAAATTTTGCTCTGCTAAGGCTGTGAATCAAAGGCAAGAGATGGATTGTAGATTAGTATGCATAAAAATACAAACATTGTTTGTTGGAGCTGACCATGCTCTACTTTTCTTAATCAACTTAAACAAAGAAAGATATGGTGTTCTATTGATTGCTATTTGTAGAAACCATTTTTTAGGCACAGAGATACAGTCTGAATATTTCAGTCGAGCATTGGAGTTCAGAAGGACATCAGAAAACAAGTACACAACTTTGAGGTACTGTTTTCCAATTTTAAGCTCATCAAATCGAGAATTATTTTATACAAAAAGTAAAGATACTACTACCATGAGCTATATAACATTAACTATGCTGTTATGAACTAAAGACTAGCAGGTTACAAGTTAGTTGAATTACTTGTAAATCAGAGACTGTTGAAACAAGTTAATAGCATCCCATTCAGGCATATTTCCACAAAACCTCTCACTAATCTTTCATAGAAACACTCAAACATCATCGTTCTATTTCGATTGCAACAACTTTCACTTTCATTCCAACTCTTTTCAATATCCATGGAATTATAAGCACAATAAGAACAAGCAGGGCTAATTTCGGGAGCACTAGTACTTCTATTAGTGAGTTATCATACCACAATTTCATGAAAACACTACCACGAGCTAAATTCCATTGCATTTTCAAGCATAATTGTTAGGACTCTGTCGTGCTTTTAAAGAGAGAACAACAAAATCACACAAAGAATTTCTTTATGAATAATAATAGAAGATACAAAGAAATAAATAATTAATTACCTATAGCAGGAAGGAGCAATCACATCAGTTAATTCGTTTGCTGGGAGACAGAAATAGGGGACCTGCATTAGTAAGATAATAATAATAATTTACTGAGCAGAAAAATATCACAACCCAAAGTCAGAAGCCATGAGAAAAACGCAAAAACTAAGTTACCTCTTCGATGTGGCCATCTAAATGCTTCAAATGAACCTATAAAAGAACAAAACGAAGTTCATAAAAGCACTGAATTTTGTGATCCCATAAATTGACCAGCATAATGTTGCATCTACCTCTAGATATTTAAAAACAATCATACCCAAAACATTAGCATATGTCAGACATGGAAAACAAATGATAAATTCTTCAATAAAAATAGGTGAAATGCTATTGCAGATTTTTCAAATCGGGAAATTTCCATCCACTTGCAACTGAAAATTTCCATAAATGATTCGTGAAATTACATCATGTCAACAATTTTAGTGCTACACTAACATGCATAAGACACAGAGGTCAGAACTTTAGCAAGAGAGTGAAATTAGACACCATTGCAGAAATGAATTAGGTTATCACAGAAAAATATAACTGAATTATAACATCAGAAGTTCAGATAATACACAGTGCATTGTCTTTCTAATAAGTTCACTTTTACAATTGAGCACCACTAACATTAGCTGCAGATTTAACATCAATATCGCAGGCTCATTCTGGTTTATTAAGTAAACATCTGAACAAAAATGATCTGTGAAATTGTGGCTCACATTTTTTTGCATCTCATACTAAATTGGGGTATACTGCTTGTTAGTAATTGTAGATCAAGCGACGAAACGTTTCGTAATTTTTTTTAATAAAGGATATCATACTTTATTCTTCATATTTTTTTCTGCACAAAGTTCTATATAACAAGAAATGGAAGCATCCGAACCTTGTAATCTTGCATGAATTCATAATGAAGAACAGTTTCTGGTTCATTACTAGCAGCCTTCAGAAACTTATCTAAGCCTTCTCGCGTTCCGTTATCCACTGACGAGATAAAGTCGCAAACTGATTATATAGGCAACTTCAGCAACAGAAAATACATTATATACATTCTCAAATCATTTAGTTCGGCTGTTAGAGAAGCAATAAAAATAAAACAGGCAATGGAAAACCATTCCCATGTATCTATCTTGGATAATTATATGCATTCATTTTATAGCAACATCATCTGTATGTTTTAAACATACAGTAAATTCAACTGCAAACCTGGACGAGCGACAAAAATTGTGCAGTAATTTCTTTTTCTTTTAAAAACACAATAACCCATATAGATAAAATGCAGTTTTTCAGTGAATATCATGTCACATATTGTTCTTGGAAAACAGATCTCGATGATGATAATTTAATTTACTCTACATCCTTGGTTAGAAAACCTAATTAGGTGATGGTTCTGGTACTGAAGTGTATGCTTACCCAAATGTAACATGTTTAAACATGAAAAATGTAGTTACCGCAATTAGTGCCAAGAACATAAAGCTTTTCCAGATGCAGATGATGCTCCACTGATCTTAGAGCTGCACTTCAAGAAATCGTTCTGCATTAAGATATCATAAGTCAAAATGATGGAATTAAATGCATGAAGCATAAGCAAGATAAAAATTTTCACAAACCTTGCACTTGGCAACCAACACCACAGAACAGAAGACGTTTCACGCCAGCAGCCTGCAAATGGAAAATGACTGGTTACACCACTGCATATATTATATAATGTAAATCGTGCAGCTTTCTGATCTGACCACTGGAGAAGCCACACAAGACTAAGTTGATGCAATTAATAAGATATGCTTAGACACTCAATTCCTACTCGTAACCATACTGAATGTAGAAAGTCAACACAATCATTATACTATAATGAATGGACGGAAAATGAGTGAATAGTTAAGCACTACCAGAAGCACGTGTATAAGCTTTTTACTAAATAAATAAACTAAGAAAATTATTTTTAAGAAAAGTATCAGTAAAGAAATGAAGAGAAGTCCCCTCCTGAAAAACTAAAGCTAACAGAGTTCCATTTCTTTGAAGGATCAACTCATTTACTGAACGTGTCTACATGGATTTGCTTTTTCGTTGAATACACGACTTTAGAAGATACGACTTAATCAAACAATAGATTAGGCATCAAATCCATAGAACTGAAACCACTGTTTGAGGCATCATTGTTTGCCCACAAATTTAGCTTTATTATTCACAATAGATACTCGTTCACTGGTTAGAATATAGTTTTTTATGTACAGGGAAATAAACATTTGCACCATGATATAAATCAAGAAATCCCTTAGGCTTTTACAAAATATAAATATCAATAATTAGCATACTGCAAATGAAAAAAAAAATAAAAAAAAATATAAAGATCTTCTGAAATAATTGTTCAAATCTAAAATATTACATGCGGCACACATTTTTTCGAAAATTTCGCAGACCACAGAAAACATATTTAAGTGGAAAATAAAACGAGCTAACTAGATTAATTCAAGCAACAAGGCAGACGCCTCAGCAGACCATGGAACGAAAATTCCAATGCTGATACATTAACTCATAATTAAATTGGTTAAAATTAAAAAGGTAGAATAGAAAGAACCTCAACTAATGCCAGAGTATTAAGATTAGGAGACAGTGTGGGTTTAACTCCTTTAGCAGCAAGAACTTCCTCTGGAGTCCTAATTTAAATAAAATTATTTGACGTTAACTTGGAGATAAATGTCAGAAAAC